GGGGGGGGGGGGGGCGGTGCGGAGAGCGGGGTGCCTGTCCACACGAAGCACATCCATGCGAGGAACCAGGCAGTTCGGCTCGGTCACTTAAGTTATTATTTAGAAAATAAATACTTACCCATTGGCAGAATAGTCTTGCGATCAGACTTTAATTTCACACAAACAGCTGTCGCTCTAACAAAACTCAGGTCAACAGTCAGATTTCGGTGGTTGTTCTCGACACACAGATTCTGCACACACTTCATTGTTCCACCACAAGCGCATATTTTAAAACTCCTGGTTCCGAGTGTCCACACCAGCGACGTGGCAAACGTGATCCGTTTGCCTCTTTAAGCTCTCACAGCAGGGGCCGTAAACGGAACTTTAACCTGTAATATGACACGGCAAATAGCCGTTAGCGCACCGTGAGAGCCAGGACGGACCCCTCTCTTAGGACTGAAGGAGATGTAGACAGACACCGAGTGTTGGCTTGTGACACCCACTGCCGTCTCCGCCCAGCATCCAGCGGTGCTGGGGGGGCAGCGGGGCCACCGCGTCCTGCTCCAGACAAGTCACTTGCTGGCCCCGTCTCAGCATCCGGTGTCCCCGGTGACTCTGAGCGGAAAGCCATGTGAAACCCCTCAGAAGCAGCAGACACTGGTTAAATACTTGAAGTTTGTGATTTTTGTCCTTACCAGGCACTCGGGTGTTCACGGAGTGGGGGTGAGGCACAGGGCTGACCCAGGCGTGATGTTCTTACTAAGTCCCTTCATCCTTGTTGTTTTTGAGAGTTACAAGCTATCTGGAAAGAAAGAAGAATTTTTTTCTTAATTTTTGTCCTTGTTTTTTACAGTCCCGGTGGCCACATGGCAACCAGAATAGCTTGAGATGCAAGGCGTCTGCAGTGCACCTGACTTTCCTTGAGACAGTGCACTTAGGACGTCATAGGAAGGGCAGCGATGACGAAACCGTTCTTAAAGAACGCCGTGTCCCGTAGCGCAGGCCGACACAGCCGGTGCAGGTCCCAGAAGGACTCTAGGGTCTGGGCTGATGGGGACTGCTGGACCAAGAGATCTGGGCTCCGTGCGGGTCGGTTAAGGTCACGGGGCTTTAAGGCAACTCGAGGTGGCCTGACGCTCTCATGGAGTCCCCACGGCTCAGGCCCAGGCGCCGCCCTCACTGGACTCGGGTCAGCCAGGTGGCCCAGCTTTAATGGGAGCCTGATTTAGTGCCGGTGTTTCAAGTGTAGACAAAGAGCAGTCCCTGCGCACGTCCGCCGTGTACGAAGCTTGCTTCGTGGACGACGGCTGTGGCTGAGTCCCACTGACCCCTCCCTCCCTGAGGCTCACGTGAGCAGGAGGGAAGCAGGCGGGGGGTGTCTGCAGGGGTCAGAGGCTCTGGACTCAACAGCCTCGAGCCCAAGCCCGAGGGGGTGTTGTGAGCGAGGCAGGTACCGAGGGCCTGATGCTCCGGAAAGCGTCCTTGTGCTTGGAAGGAAGAAGGTGGCCAAGGTTGGTATCTGGTGGTGCGCTAGGTGGGCACAGGTGCCCGCTCCCCGCCGCGGGGCTTCCTGCTCCGCTCGTCTCTCTCTGGTAGGGAGGTGAAGCATTGAGAGTTTGCTTTCTGGATGAGTAAGGACGTGACGTGTTGAGGGGGTCGATTTCTCTCAAGTCAACTGGCCGATCTGCATTTGTGTTTGCAGGTGCCCGACCCCCGGCTGCGACGGCTCTGGGCACATCACCGGCAACTACGCTTCTCATCGAAGGTACGTGACGAGCCCGTCCCCCTGCACGGCCCGGCTCCTTGTCCCGCCGCGCGGGCGCAGGCTTCCAGCAGGCTCTGGTGCACGCTCCGTGCCACCCGCCGATGCGCCAGACGCCAGACCACCACGTGGTGCCTTCCCCGTGGGGTCCTCACGGGAGGCAGACGCTCCCGGCCCCAGACCGCCCGCCCCCCTGACGCCCCACCTGTCCTGCACCTGCGTCCGCCTATGAGCGACTCCTCGGGTCATCCAGCAGCAGCCATTCTAAAGCAGAAGAGGACGGGGAAAAGGACCATCGCTGGCAGAGAATAAGGTCCCTGGGACGGCCACTGAGAGGCAGGCGTTCCAACACCGCTGGGAGCCGGCCTCCTAAATATGAAAACCTGAGCCC